TTTTGAAAAAAGTTTTTGAACTCTGTTTTATTCCCAGTTACATTTAATATTTTTAGCATGGTTTTATTAGTTGAAGCTCCGTCACAAGTAAGGGCAACAACTTGTAAACCAGCATCCTCTAACAACATAATTGCTTTGACAACCAACTGTACTAAATCAATACCTGTGATAATAAACATAAAAGTTTTATTTTAGATAATATAGTACCTATATTAATCTTCTTACAAATTTTAACTTAATAAGTAATAACATAATATTAATATTATACATAATAGCTACTTAAAATAATTTAACCTTTCACTGGACCCTTAGATGCAAAAACAGCTATGGGCTGAGTGACATCATCTCCTAAACTTTTCCACATGAAAACTAATCCATGATCCGCTAATTCTGAACTATTAACCTTGTTTTCTATTTCACCTCCAAAATCTTCTAACCCGCTATATGTTAATGTTCTTGTTTTTACGTTAATGCTAGTCCTTAGGAATATTTCATCTAATAATAAAACGCCAGTTCTTTGTTGTTGAGTTTTATTAGAAAACTTTTTCTTTAACAACTTAAAAAATGAATAGTCAAAACCAAATTCACTTTTAAAGGCTAGTAAATGTCTTCGAATAGTGTTTACACATGGTAATGGTAAAATATTTTGGTCACGTAAAAATTTGTATCCAGAAGGGGATCTATACAAAACAAAATACAACATGTGAAAATAAACTCATAATATATTATCTAGTAATATTTAAAACTATATAGTTCCAAATTGTATTATAGAATATAATTTTTACCGTATTTGAAATAATAAACAAAGAATAATCCAACTTTCTGAGTAGTGTCTATTTTTCGGATTTTTGTACTTAGCCGCAGCAAATATTTCATGAATTAATTCAGATTGGCATTTTGGAATTCCAGAATCCTCAATACGCTTTTTTAATTCATTACTTGACATTTCATTTATTTTATTTTTTAATAAATTAAGATCAAATTTTAATTTATTTATTTTATTATTTGACCTATATACTTGTTGTCTTTTTTTTTTGTATACTTCTCAACTTTTGAAAATGTAATTTTTTACTTGGTGAAAAATAAATATGAACAGACTTTTTATTTTTTAATTGGGCTTTCTTCTTTTTTATTGAAAAAAATAACCGTTTGCACCATAGACAACAAGAACTAGAACTAAAATTAATTTACTAAATAAATTACTACTATTATTTTAGTAAAAATGTATACTTAATACATTACATAGATTTACCTATTTTCTGGTAATATTTTGGAACAACTTAAATGCTTCCAAAACCCATTAATATTTTTAAACTGATGGCCAAATGATTCTTTTATATCAGGATAATTATTTACTGGAACAGCTCAATAACATACATTCAACGAATCAAGAGTTTTAATTATACTTTCTACATTTTCTATGGTTGTATTTTCAGTTGGATGAGATGTCGAGGGAAATAGAATTTGTTTTTGTTCATTAGCTATATTTTCATTAAAAATATGTATGATGAATTCTGAATCTATTAACAATTTTAAAATTAAATTTAAAATACATAAATTCATAGTTTTATGGTTAGTTTTATAGCAACAAGTTTTATTTACCTTGAGTAACTATTAATTCTTTTTCAATACAATGTTGGTAGTTTATAATATAATTTGACAGTTTGAAAAATGAAACTGTTGACTTTTTATTCAACTCGTTCACTGAAACATCCTTAAACCATTTAGGGGGAAGTTTAACATTATTTTGCTTGTCTACTAGGACATAAAATATAGGCTCCTATAAAATTACAAATATTTTTAAATATGTTTTCTAAATAAATGAGGTGCCTTTATCTACTAACTTGATCATAGCTGCTATGGTATATTATACTACTCATACTTTCATCTGTTGTAGAAATTGACATATTATTTTCCTAAATATAATTAAATACATTTTAGGTAGGTATGTGTCAATTTATTATTAATTATTATAATTATTTATATTAGCTATCGTATGTTATTTTAATAAAAGTTACATTAAAACTACTAACCTCTACAAATGAAATACTTTTATGGCTAGTACTTGCTACAGTAGAATCATTAAAATCCATTTTATGAGTAGAAACATTTACCTAAATGCAATTTTATTAATTACATTTTTCTATTATTTTTTTAATGAACAAGTTAATTTTAAATTGTAAATTTACATATAAGTTATTTTCATCCGACCAGGATTTTTGTTTAACAATTGGCATGGTACTGAACTTTTGATTTTGATTCTCTTCACAACTTTTTATCAAATTTAACTTTACCATTGGTACAGCACCTTTCTTTAAGTGAGGCCTTTTAAAACAAATCTTGAGATATGGTAAAAGTAGAATTAATATAATATTAAGTTGTAGGTTCACAAATTTTAATTTAATTATTAAGTAAATTATATAGTGAATACTTAATAGATTTATTCAAATTATAAGTTATACTTACATAAATATTATAAATTGTGATTTGTAATTAATACTTACCGAGTACTTACTAGTCCCTTGTCCTGATACCCAGGTGTCAATTATATCTTCTTTAAGAAAGTGATCACCACAAATCCTAGACCTTTTATTTAAAGTCTTGCCAATTACTCTTTCCCATTTTTCATGGGAGGCTATTGGAACACTAAACCTAGATTTAGAATTTCCAATACAATTTTCAATGCAACATTTATCTAACCGAGGCGGCATATTGATTTAGATAAATAATATATTAATATAAAAATATTGATGAGTTGTCTGTACTCTACTTATTACGCTTATTACTATTATATTGAGCTTATACCATAGAGTAATAATAACAAATTAAAAATACGCGGGAATTAGTATGTAAAAACTACACAAGACTGCGCTAGCTGTTATGCCGCAACGAGAGAAGGTTCGGGCTTCACTTTTCACAGGTTCGTTGCGTATCCAGTATATTAATCCGTG